ATTCCAATCCAACTCCTTATTTGGACTAGCTTTACAATACAGATGAAAAATTAAAAAATGAGGTTTAATATTAAATACTATAATTTGTTCTGGGCTTTTTTTTTTTAAACAAAGTAAGATTTCAACTATATTCTTTTTACATAGTGGAATAAATATTTTACTATAGAATTCAGAGTACACTTAGCAGTCAAGAAGATCAACCATTCAGTGCCCTTAAAATAGAGGTCCCCAAACTTTTAAGGGTCACACCCTCCTTTATCCTGTCTGCACCCCTCCCACCCGGAGTTGGGCCAGGAGCAGGGTCGCAGATCTGGGTGGGGGGAGAGACACAGACAGAGGTAAGGGGTCCAAGGCTGGAGACGCAGCTGGGGCGGGTGTGGAGCTGACAGCCAGGGCCCTGGGCACAGAGCCAGCAGCTGGGACCAGGAGCAGAGTTGGGTGGTGCTCCCTCCCAGCCCCCCGCCGTACTCCCCTGAACGTTCGTCCATGTCCCCCTTGGGGGGGCGCACTGCACAGTTTAGGGACCTCTGCCTTAAAATAACTTTTTAACTAAGTCTGTATTCAGAGACCGTCCCATTTGGAAGTCTCCCCCAGGGGTATCTCTTAATTGTGAACTCCAGCATTTCAATTAGCTATTGCACTTCTGAGTGAAGCCTCTGAGGAATAACTTCCTAAAGTATACACTGATTTTTAGATAAGGCCAAAGTGACAGATTATGCACAAATCCAACACTTCAGCCACACTTTAGCATAGGTGGAAAGGCTAATCAGGTCTACAATGGTAACAAGTGATGTTTTTTTCCTCATTTTGTTTAATTACCAGAAATACATACATACTTTAGGAAGTTAATATGCTTCTCAAATCTTACTCAATATAAGTTATTGGCTCCAGCCATAACCATGCCTGGAGTTCACTCTTCTTTGTGATTTCACTACATTACTGGAATCCATAAATGTAACTTGTCATTGTTATAAAGTTCTCTTGAAGAAACTATTGCAAGTCTTTGGTATGACATCACGTCAAGATTAAGCCACTGCAAATCCAAAATGCTAATACAAGCTTATTAAGGGATTTAAAAAAAAAAAAAAACGGAAGTCCAGACAAGGAAATTCCATAAGGCTATGTGCTGCAAAGTTTGTTACCAATATAACTGTTACACCAGCTCTCTTACAGAACTCAACAATAGCAGAGTGCACACACAACAAACAAAAGAAGTTGTCAGACTTAAGGCTGTACCACTTCCTGTATAAGGTAAGCACTGAAAAGTTGTTTGCTTAGTTTTGCAGGACTTTAGCAGAATGTTATGTGTTGATAAAATGGGTAATTTTGCTGTGTTCCAAATATGGTGGGAGAGAAAAAAAAGACTCGCAATCCTACTGCTTCAAGGAATCCCCCTGTGAAATCAAGAAGAGACTCTTTCTTGCACAAATAGGTGCATTCTCAGGTTTTTACACCTTCCTTGGAAGCATACAGCATTTCCCACTATTAGTGACCGGGTACCTAAGTAAGTGAATCATTGGCCTTTTGGGAGATGGGCAATTTTTGGTTCCTAGATTTCATTCAGGGATGTTGCAATAACTGCAAGCGACTTAACCACTAGCCAGATTCCTCCAAACTACAATAGGTTAAATGCCCTAGAGATTCAGTGCCATAAATCTACAATCATGTGTGATTGCACATATCTTCTTAATAGTGCACAAGGTGATGTGAAGCAACTTCCCAACACTTTATCTCCTAAGGGAGACTCTGCTTATTCCAACTTTCAAAATCTTCAAGGCTCCAGTGAGAGAAATTGATTTATTATAGAAGTCAAATGGCTGTTTATTCCCCTTCCATCAAAAAATCGGGCCAAAGTTCATAGAATGTGTGTGTACTTTGCAGCTGAGCACTTACCATACTTCTGTCTTCTGTAGAGTGCTGCGTAAAGTAGCGATTGTCGCTAAATGTATAATAAGTTTCTATTCCACTGTGATTTATAGGAATAGAAACTTACAATACTTTTAGATACAATCACTAATTTATGCAGCACTCTATACAAGATATAATGTGCATTCCTTGCCCCCAAAGAGCTTTCAATCTAAATAAAACATAGGGCAGTGGCAAATGGGATGGAGGGTCAGTGAAGGTATTAATTATGATAATAGAAATAGGGTTACTTGAAGGGGACTTTTAAGCAGGAATTTGAAGGTGGAGAGAAAGGGCACTTGACCATGAAGTCAAGAAAAAGAACCAGATGGCAGAAACTAACGCGCTCAAATGTGATGTAGATGGATGTATAAACCTAAATAGGCATTGGGGCTAGCATGGGAAAAGTACTGAAAGAGAATGGGGGAAAGGAGCTGCATGGCGCAATGGGGAAGAGTGTAGGGAATGAGTAGAGGACAAAATGAGAGCTAACACGTAGCATGGGACAATATTCAGTAGTAAGGACATTACAGAGGAAGATGAGTTTAAACATTACAAAGTAAGAGACAGAAGCCAAATGGGAGATTCAAGCAGGGAGGGAGGTGAAAGGTTGGACTGGTGAGAGAAATGGATAGATTTTGGTCTGACTTGACTGGAGAGACCTGAGAGGCAGGCAGAGAGGCCAGGTAGGAGAAGGCTACAGTTATCAAAATGACAAGGGCTACTGTTTGAGTGCACCAGCCCTTATAGTTCAGGGTAAGGATAAACTAATCAACTAAAAATCTTTCATTGATTAGCTTATCCTTACCCTGAACTACAAGGGCTGCATTTAAGGATGCTGCTGTTTTCTTTGACTCTTGGACTACATTATGTGCATCCCTGTAATAGAGCCTGCAGCTGCAGACACTTAGGGCATGAATGTGAGTGACATTTACTCACAAAAATAATCCCAACAACTTCAGTGGGATTACTCATGTGAATAAAGTTGCTGATGTGCATGTGTTTGTAGGATCTGACAAACTACCTTGCTAGAGGGATAGAAGAAACGGTGGCAAGTTGTTCTCACATCAGATAAGGACCAGAAGGAGACAGTCTCTTATCTTGCATGAGCCAAACTTTCTGAAAAATTCTCATTTACAATTAAAATTGCCCAAGCTTCTCCTCAGCCAAGAGGTAGCTGGGGTGGGGCGGGGCAGCAACAGGAAGTAAACAAAATGAAAGAAAGGATGGTCTTGTAGTAAAGGCACTAAACTGGGACTCAGAAGATATGGGTTCAATTGCTGGCTTTGCCACAGACTTCCTGTGTATTTTGGGTAAGTAACTTGGTGTCTCTTTTCTTCAGCTCCCCATCTGTAAAATGGAAATAAAACTTCCCTTCTCTCACCTTTTGTCTACCTTTTGTAAGCTTTTAGGGGCAAAGACTGTTGCTTACTATGTATACATACTGTACCTAGCACAATATGCCCTGATCTCAGTTGGAGCTTCTGGACATTATTGTCAATTCGCATAATCTCAGCTATTTTTGACCCCTATGAAAATGTGGAAGAGAATGTACTTTTCTACTGTAAGAAAACATCAAGAAGCTACTTTGGCTTACATGTATTAGGTGGCATTTACCATCTGAAATGGTCATGTTGACTATCCCTTAGCAGGGTCTAAATGCCAAACTCTTCTCACAGTGTGAATGGAAACGCTGTAACCTCATTGATTCTACACAGGGTGGGATAGGACAGCTTGCACCTTTAAAGACTGGAGGTCTGGAATCAGCCAGCCTTGGCCATTTACTCCTGCCTGTCAGAGCTGAGATGAGGAGTGGGGTTTAATTATTAGAACCAGCTGAGCATTTAGGAGCTGATTCCCCAGTGAAGAGCAACAGAAAGCTACAGAGCAGGAAGTGCTCAAGGAGACTAACCACCACTATGAAGTGGGAGCAAAATACTACAGAAACTGCTTGGAATGAACAGAACACAGTAACAAACCTTGAATCTTCATGGAAAAATTTTCAGGCAGAGAAGGCCTAGGAATATGGTCTTGAGGGGGATTCTGAGAACTTAATTTTGGGAACTATTTTCTGTTAATAAATTCAGCTCTGAGTTGCGGTGTAGATGAATCAGAGATAAATTTGTGCTGATAATCAAAGTTCATAGGCCCTGCATTTAAGAGAAGGGAAACAGAGGCAGGGGCCTGCAAAGCAACCTCAGACCATGACTGGAACAGGGGCCACTTGGTAGGCAGCCAGTCGGTTCACACGTGGTCTGGCAAATTAATGCATGGGGATTGTTGTTCTGAGAAAATGAATACAAGGGATGAGTTAATGCAGTCTATATCATTCCTCCCTTTTTTATTTACACCATATTTTTGCGACAACTGGACCCTTGGTAAGCTGTCAACCCAACACACTACCCAAGCAGTTTGGACCCCTTTGCAAAAGCGGAAGGACTCTGGCATTCCTCCCCCCTCAGCCACCGCATAGCACAAACTGTCTCGTGCTCTCTCCCAAAACATATCCCCAAAGCAGGGGATCCAACCCCATCCCCCAATGTCAAAGACTCCAGTGCCCACAGACACATGTGGCCAGATGGGGTCTGCTCTGCAGGCAGCTCTAGCCAAGAGAAGGCACACGCAGGAAGGCAGCAGGGAAAGTCCCTTTTTCACCTCAGGGGCTCCTGTTCCAACACCCCCCCTCCCCCCCCAAGTGAACACACATGGGAATTGTACAGTGAGCACAGGAAAGGGAAATATTTATTCACAGAGGATGAATGGAGAAAAATAAGAGGGGGAAAGACAGGGAGAGCAGTAAAACAGAATTGCATTCAACACAAGGCCCCACAGGCCCAGAGGTAGCACAGTCTGAAAGGGCAGACACCGAGCAATGTCTGCACTCCGAGTTCGGGAGTCCTGGGCAAAATTCCAGTCCAGGGGTGAGTCTCGAGTGCTTCTAGCCCTCTTTGGAGCCAGTGGACTTTCCCCAGCAAACCTCTCTGGGGCCCTCTGCCACTCTCTGCAAAGCCACACAGAGCGACCACCTCCCCAGGGAACTAGCTAACAGCCTCCCTGCTTAGCCCCACTGCAAGGCCACAAGCTCCAGTACTCACGGCCCCGTGCAGCAGCGATACTGGGTCCAGCTCCGGTCTGTCTCTCTCGGACGATTCCTTCCTGGCCCACTGCTCCTCCTGGCTCCTGTCCTGGCGTCCCCGGTCGGTCGCTGCTCTGTCCCTCCCCGGCTCCGGGCAGCTTCTGGGCTGCTTCACTGTGTGAGGGCCTGGGGCTGCAGCCCTTCTGTCGGGAGTGCCAGACACCCACGCTGTCGCTCTTCCCCTGCACTTCCTCCTTCAGGCACAATCAGCACTCCCCTCCTCCGCCTCAGGGCAGAGATTTAAAGGGCCATGCTCTCTCAGCCCCAAAGAGGTTACACACTCGTAGTTAAGCTCTCCACGACACGCAAACTGGAGCCTCAGTCTCTACCCACCTCACACAAGGCCTTGGTGCCCATAAAAAACACCCTGGAGGGACTAGGCACAGAGAAAATTCCCCTCTCCAATCTACACATCCACTGAGGGGCTGGGACAGAGCCCACTCTGAACAGACACATGGGGGGCATGGAGGGGGAGATGGCCAGGGTCAGAACCCCCTTCACAAAAACACTGGGTGGGGGGCAGGTTAGGAGCAGAGCACACCCCATAGAATGGGGGGGGGGGGGGGGAGGACAAGAGGGAGGGACAAAGGCCCCTCCCCCACCCACAGCTGCAAGAAAGCAGGGGAACCAAAGCTCCCCCAAATAGCCAGCAAGGGGAGACTCAGCAGCCTCCCCAACTAACAGCTGAGGGGAACAGCCCCCTACTCTCTCTCACACAGGGGACGGTCCCCACCCTGCTATAATGGCTCTGGAACCCTCACCATGGGGCAATGCACACCCCAGCCCTGGGCCCCCCTCACTTCCCATTGGCCCCTGGGGAGCAGCTCCCCTCCGGGGAAGGGTTCACCCGACGCAGCAGTGAGTGCGGGAACTGCAGGGGCAGGCGGCGCGTGCCTGCAGGTGGAAGGCACACACCTGGCGCGGGTCAGGGCTGTTGTGCTTGGGTCACCTCGGGTGAGCAACCGGGCACATGTGGGGGAAGCAGGGCGACCCTGCTGCCTTGAGGGTCACTGGCCCAGCTGCCCATTGGGAATGGAGATGAACATGGTAGCGCATGCCGGACAGGTTTGCAATAACATTATTTGGTTATAATTAATGTAACCAGTGCAGGGTGTAATAAGCAGGGATGGGTGAATAAATCTGCAACAATATACTAGTACAGCTGTTCACATTTTAATCCTCACAAGCAAACAAATGCTGGAACAATCAGCCCTGATAGTGTGGTTGCAATAATGCAATGCAGTAGCCTTATCATCGTCAATAATAATTAAACCCTGAACCGATAAGCCCAATGGAGTGGCTTTAATGGTGCATGCAGTAATGTTACAATCATTAATAATCAACTGGTAAAATGATAACCCCAATAGCTTGTGTAATAATGTCAAACTCATTGTTAATAATCAAATGCTGGAACATAGCAGCTCTAATAGTGCATGCAAGCGTGTTAAAATCATTAATAGTCAAATGCTGCTAGAATGATCAACCTCATAGCAGCTGTAATAGTGCATTCAATAATGTGAAAATCATCATTAATAATCAAATGCTGGAACAGTAAACCCAATAGTATGACAGTAAGGTGTGCAGTAAACTTATCATCATTGATAATCAAACAGTAGAGCCAATAGAGGGGTTGTAACAGTGCATTCCATCATGTTGTAATCATAATTAATAATTAAACACTAGACGGATAAGCCTAATAGAGCAGCTGTAATTGTGCCTGCAGTGATGTAATAATCAGTCTTTTAATCAAATGCTAGAACAATATTTCTAATCACTAGAGCCCTGTGCAGATACAAAATTTGTATCCACAGCTGATCCACAGACATGGTCCGCAGATATAAAACAGATACCTGCAGATTTGCAGGGCTCTACCAGTCACACACCTCAGTCCTTAGGCTCCTCCCTATGCTCGCTGCCTTGACTTATGACAGTATAACCCCAATTTCTTTTTCTTATTTCCTGGTGCTCAGCCAAAAACACTACTTGCTGTAATTACAGCTGCTGTTTCTACCTGCTCTCAGAAAAGGTGGCAGTACAGAGCAGTGGCTCTCAACCTTTTCACTCTGATTTGTCTTGTGTACCCCCAAGTTTCACCTCACTTAAAAACTACTTGCTTACAAAATCAGACATAAAAATACGGAAGTGTCACCGTACACTATTACTCAAAAATTGCATACTTTCTCATTTTTATCATATAATTATAAAATAAATCCATTGGAATATAACTATTGTACTTACATTTCAGTGTATAGTATATAGAGCACTATAAACAAGTCATTGTCCGTATGAAATTTTGGTTTGTACTGTCTTTGCTAGTACTTTTTATGTAGCCCGTTGTAAAACCAGGCAAATATCTAGATGAGTCAATGTACTCCCTAGCAGACCTCTGCATACCCCCAGGGGTATGTGTAACCCTGGTTGCGAACCACTGGTATACAGCCTTGAGTGACTGCACACACACAAAAAGCAGTTGCTATGTCAGCACAGTAGAGGAAGTGGGTAATCATGCTCAATAGCTGTTTTGAATAGGGTTGCCAGGCATCCAGTTTTTGACCAGAATGTCTAGTCAAAAAGGGACCCTGGAAGTCCGGTTGGTGGCACAGCAGGGCTAAGGCAGGCTTCCTGTGGCTCCTAGAAGCAGCAATATATCCTGTGGCTCCTAGGCACAGGGGCAGCAAGGGGGCTCCGCGTGCTGCCCCCGGCTCTGCAGCTCCCATTGGGTGGGAACTGCAGCCAGTGGGAGCTAAGGGGGGCGGCACCTGCAGACGGGGGCAGCGCATACAGCCGTCTGGCCGCACCTCTGCTTAGCTGCCGCCCAGAGGGATATGCCACCACTTCCAGAAGCTGCCTGAGGTAAGCGCCGCCTAGAGACCACACCCCGAACCCCCTTCCGCACCCCAACCCCCTGATCCAGGTCAGAATTCCCTCTTGTACCCAAACTCCCTCCCAGACCCTGCATCCCTCCTCCCCTCCTGCACCCAAACTCCCTCCAGGAGCCTGCACCCCCTCCTGCCCCCAAACTGCCTCCCAGAGCCTGCACCCCCTCCCACACTCTGAACCCCTCGGCCCCACCCCAGTGCCCCCTCCTGCACCCACATCCCTGGCCCCACATCAGAGGCCCCCCCCCCCGCATCCCAACCCACTGCCTCAGCCCAGAGCCCACTCCCACACTCCAAACCCCTCATTTCTGGCCCCACCCTGGAGCCTGCAGTCCAGAGCCCATACCCGCTTCCACACCCTAACCCCCTGCCTCAGCCTGGAGCCCTCGGCCACAGTCTGCAGCCCCCAGCCTGCACCCCAAACTCTTCATCCCCAGACCCAGCCTGGAGCCCTCACCCTCTTCTGCACCCCAACCTCCTGCCCCAGCCTGGTGAAAATGAGCAAAGGTGAGGGAGAACGAGTGACGGAGGAAGGGGGGATGGAGTGAGCGCAGGTGGGGGGGTGGCTTGGGGCAAGAGTGTTTGGTTTTCTGCGATTAGAAAGTTGGCAACCCTAGTTTTGAAGCTGGCATAGAAGGCTTTATTAAGGGCAGACATTCCTGCATGTATACATATAACTCCCCACCACCTAGTCAGAAGCTGGAAGCTCCTGGGCAATCAGTAGTGAGTTCTGTCAGGGGTACAAAATTGGCAGCCAGGTTGAGCACTGGTCAGATCCAGCCCAGCTTGCATGGAGAAGATAAGCGCTGCCAGGGGTAACCCAGACTGATTTGGGAATTGGATCTCAATACAGTTTCCTGTAATTTTACAAACTAGTTGGACATTATTGGTCTGCAGCAGTTATATGTTAAGGTGTCTGTACCGTCCTTAGTCCCAAGAAGGAAAATAAGTATCTTTTTAAATAGCTGTGGATTATAGTTAAGGGGATATGGAAGTTTGCTACTTGCCTAAAAGGCTGATACCTTATTCTGGTTATTCCAAGAAGTAAGCTTAGAAGCCTACTTAAGTAAGTAGGGCAATTATGTTTGTGTGAATATATATATTGTTAAATGCAAGGTATGGCCCTGTGCCCTGACTAGTAGAACACCAGTCAGATCTAGCCCATTCCTGCAGGGAGAAGATAGAGCTGCCATGGGTAACCCTGACTTATCTGTGGGTTGGATCGCAGCAGCTTCCTGTAATTTTACAGAACTCGGTGGAATTGAGACAGGGAAAACACCATAAAGAAGCAATTACAGTCTGAGGCCAAATGTCTTCAGGAGGTGTACTACATCACTGAACCAGAGACAGTGTGTGAGCCTAACAGCTACAGTCATTGTAAAGGTTTTTTTCTTTCTTCTTTGAAGTTGTATACATCCTTAATTATGTGGCTGCTGAAACAACTGGTTATGCAGAACAGCTAAATGTTTTATTTAATTGTCAATATAATACCCAGTATGAGCCTATGTGAAAGCAGAAGATCTCTGATTGTCAGAAATGCCAATCCCTGTATTGATTTTGTAAGGTATTCTATTAGGGGTTTAGGGCCTGCATTATATTTTTTATTTTAATGGACAAATAAATCTTTAGTTAAATGTTAGTCTAACTAGGGTACATTGTAACTGCTGTGCTGTAACTGTTGATCTTTAGCGTGTTATTCATAAAAGGAATTTGAAATTATTATTTGTGAATGGGTAACTGTCTTTTGGTAAAGACTGGTACTGGATTCCTAGGAAGATAAAGAAAGTGAATCCTATTATAATTTCCACTTCTAGTATTTGGAAAGTTTCCTACAAAAAATCCTTATAATCTCTTGCAAGGATAGAAATTCTTGGTCTGTGCAAATATTTTGTCAGAGAGAAGAACTCTATAGCACAGAATTGGTAAGTAAATTGATTTACCTCCCGTCTAATAGGTTACAGTACTTTTGCTTCATTGTGTGTCTCCCTTGTTGTCACCTCCGCACAAGGCAATTTGGAAAGCATTTTATGATACTGGTCTGACAGATAAGGAAAATGGGGTTTGCAAACCTGCCTGCCTGCTTCAGCTATTTCCTTCCCCATCCCAACAAAGACTATGACTATCTCAGGTGATTTTCAAACTTTTCCATACTGTGACCTTATCTTTAAAAGCTTAGGAAACCCCTTCCTGTTTAGCTATAAAGAAAGGGAGGGTGGTCTCAAAATCCCCTGGTCATGACCCCAGGTTGAGATCTATCCAGTCTTTGCAACTAATTCTGCACCCTCACACCCTCCCTTCTGTTCATTCAGATTATTCAGTAAAACACATATGAGCTAAGCCCAGTTCTGCTGGTCCTCACCTATTTAGATAAACTGGCATGCTCCTTTGTCATGCTCCACACTCTAGACTGGTGGTTCTTGACATGTTCTAGTCTACAGCACACCAAAGGGCTGGAAAAATCTTCCTACTCCTCACCATGCACGAC